GTGGTGGTGGTGGTAGCGGCGGTGGCGGCGGCGGTATTGTTGTTGTTGTTGTTGTTGTTGTTGTTGTTGTTGTTGTTGTTGTTGTTGTTATTGTTGTTGTTGTTTTTATTGTTGTTTTTGTCGCTGTTTTTGTTGTTTTTGCTGTTGTTGACATTGCTGGTGTATAAGGTAGGCGTCTGCGTTGCCAATGACGAATCCGAGTAGTACATCTACAGACCGTGCCGCAGCTTCGGGCAGAAGCATTCGAACGAAGCGCCGAGCGGTCGAACCGAGCGCTGAGTAACGCCGCAAATCTCACACTCTAGTGCACTTGCTAACCGACAGCTAGGGCGCTTCGCCGTACTAATGGCAGTAATAAGAGAAATATTTGGTTCTTTCTCTCTGCCTCGCTCTCCAGCATTCAATCAGCAGCGGCTTCTCTGTATTGCGCCGGAGGGTGAAGCGTAGTTAGCAGGCGGCGCTGAGCGAAGGCGCGCGCGGGATGAGAGAGAGAGAGAGAGAGAGAGAGCGAGAGAGGCGAACAGATTTGTAAGATGGCGCTCGCATGCGACGCGCTCACGTGTGTGCATGTGTGTGTGTGTGTGTGTGTGTGTGTGTGTGTGTGTGTGTGTGTGTGTGTGTGTGTGTGTGTGTGAGAGAGAGAAAGCATGTGTGTGTGCGGGCGTGCATGCCATTTCAAGGACTTGTTTTTTCAAGGACAATCTGTGACAAGTAGTTTTAGCTTTTTAGAGTCATCATATATAACTTAGACTCATATATAAAGTAAAAATAGTTGTTTTACAGGAGTGCCGACAGCAGATTAAATAGCCACTATAGCTCGCCGATTACCGACGTGGTACACAATAGTTGTTTTGTATTGTCATTCACGTAGGCCCTACATTCATGTCACAGTCATGTAACAATATGTAAAGCTTTGATGTAACATGTATCACTCACAACTATGTATCGCACAATCTACTGTATCATTCAGAAAGTTTATTGTTTTAACTGCTCAATACTGTTGCATTCATCAGATTTTTTCTCTATGAAATGTCTTCATGTACTTGTAATTGAATTACATACAATAAAGATTTAATAATAATAATAATAATCAGTTGCCGGTTCTTTATGCTGACCTTTCATTTGCTGTGTCAGGCAGTAACATTAACAGTGAATAAACGTACCTTCCTACCTGAATAAACGTACCTATACTTATTCCTTACTACCCTTTCGCGGATGGTATCGCCCACGACCAGTCAAGCATGGAAAAACATTTGCAGGTAAATGGCCGTATTTCAGCGGAAACTTTTTCCCCCCGTGAGGCACAAAATGTGAATTTACGTCTATAATGCACGCGCACGCGTGCGTGCGACCATACCCGCGTGTGCGCGTCCGTTAGTGGGTGTGTATGTGTGTTTGTGTGACTGTAAAAACGCGTATTATAGCCGTATAATCATATTCTGTGCTTTGGGGGATGAAAACGTTGAGGCTGAAAACCAGCCATTTGCCTGAATAAAAGTCACCGTGCAACTGATGCCGTGGGCGATACTATCCGCAAGAGGGGGAGAGAAGTACTGAGGGGAAGGGAGTGAGAAGGGGAGGGAGTGAGAGAAGGAGGGAAATACTGAGGGAAAGGGAGTGAGAGGGGGAGGGAAATACTGAGGGGAATGGAGTGAGAGGGGGAGGGAGTGAGAGGGAGAGGGAGTGAGAGAAGGAGGGAAATATTGAGGGGAAGGGAGTGAGAGGGAGAGAGAAATACTGAGGGGAAGGGAGTGAGAGGGAAAGGAAAAAACTGCGAGGAAGGGAGTGAAAGGGGGAGGAAAATATTGAGGGGAAGGGGGTGAGAAGGAGAGGGAAATACTGAGGGGAAAGGAGTGAGAGGAGGAGGGAAATACTGAAGGGAAGGGAGTGAGAGGGGAGGGAAATACTAAGGGGAAGGGAGTGAGAGGGGGAGGGAAATACTGAGGGGAAGGGAGTGAGAGGGGGAGGGAAATACTGAGGGGAAGGGAGTGAGAGGGAAGGAGGAAGGAAAGAGGAGAGAAAGGGGAGAGTGATGGAGGGAGGGAAAGATGCAGACTGAGATGTGCACACGTGATGGCACAGTCCACACTGGCGCGATGACAAACGTACGGCGGCAAACGGCAGGCAAAAAAAAAAAAAAAAGAAAAACGTCAAAAAAAAGAACAACACACACATACATACATAACAGCCACGGATGCACAATGTTCCTCATAATATAGTTACTAGTCTTCTCGCCTTCACCGCCCACTCTCTCCTTCTCCGTGACTCTCCCCCTCTCTCTCGCTCTCTCTCGTCTCTCTTTCTCTCTCTCTCTACTTCTCTCTCTCTCTCCTCTCTCTGCTCTCTCTCTATTCTTCTCACTACACATCACACACAGAGCAGCACACACACACACACACACACACACACACAAACACATCACATCACCCACACACAAACAACACACCACCACACACACACACACTGCTCCTCTCTCTCTCTCTCTCTCTCGGTCTCTCTCTCTCGCAATATTTCTCTTCACGCACGCACGCACGCACGCACGCACGCAAGCACACACATACATACACACACACACTCTTTGTCTCTCACTTTCTCTGTATCTCTCTCTCTCTCTCTCGCAATTTTCCTCTCTTTCTCGGGAGCTATTGACACATATGTATATATATATATACTCACCTTTTTTCCGTTTCTTTCCTTTGTTCACTTTCTTACTCCTCTCTCGCGGATAGTATCGTCCACGGCATCAGTCGCACTATGAAAAGCATCAGGAGCTAATAATGACAAATTTAGTCATTATTAGCTCCTGAAAGCACGTATGTATATATATATACATACGCGCGCGTGCGACCATACCCGCGTGTGCGCGTCCGTTAATGTGCGTGTATGTGTGTTTGTGTGACTGTAAAAACGCGTATTATAGCCGTATAATCATATTTTGTGCTTTGGGGGATGAAAAAGTTGAGGCTGAAAACCAGCCATTTGCCTGAATAAAATTCACCGTGCTAACGAGGTCGTAGGCGATACTATTTGGGAGAGGGAATCACTTATTCACGAGAGAATATAACATGATATGATATAGGTTAAAGTACCATATAATTAGATAGACATATCAGATATAAATAGATAGAAGTAGATAGAATACCAGATATTGAGTGAAAAGGTATTATCGTTTTTTTCTTGGTTTTTCGTGATGGTTGATTCTATATGGTAGTATTATTACTGCTAGGTACTCAGTATATGGTTCCCACAAAAGTGTGAATTATTTTTTCAAAGACTTCAAGGACATTTCAATGACATGTTTTTTCAAGGACAATCTGTGACAAGTAGTTTTAGAATTTTAGAGTCATCATATATACCTTAGATTCATGTATAAAGTAAAAATAGTTGCATTACACCCTAATTCAATGAGAGCAATTTTCTCTCTATAAATTTCTTGCTAATAGTACTTGCTGAGCTTGTGAAATTAAAGATTCTAGATCTGTTCTTCAACCTCCAACCCATGGAAGAAACCATTAAGGGCCATATTCTCCTTGTCCCAAATCTTTACAAATAATAACAAATAACAAATAATATAAAATTTAATCCAAAATCCATAGAACAGTATCTGCTCAAACTAGTTTGTTTCCCCTTTTTAGTCATGGGTGGCATGAGCGGGATCTTAACTATATGCTGACTATTATAATAATTCTTTTATTTATGACTCAGCGTGTATTTTTATACACACATATTGACACAATTAAACACAGTAATAAATAATTATTAAAATGATGAACTTATAGTCTAGACCCCTACATCACCTGCACGTAAAAATTTGGGACAAAACAAACTACTTTGGTAGAGTACATTAACAGACAATGACATGTGAATTGTGGATTAAATTTAACATTTTTATCGAAGACTTGGAATAGTGTCAGTCAGATAATCAGCACTGAAGATTTGCTTTTTATTTTAGGTCAAAAATGTAAATTTCCAGGACATTAGACATAATATAAGGACTTGGACCTGTTTAATTCCAAGGACTTTCAATGACAAAAGGTAAAATTAAGGACTTTCAAGGACAAAAGGTAAAATTAAGGACTTTCAAGGGCTGTGGGGACCCTATCATTAGTAAGGATTTCACTATGCCAGCTAAGAATAAACTAAGCAGATGGCTGGAGTAGGCAAGCTACTGTCACGTTTTAAATAATGCAGCAATTAAGACAAGTAGGTATAAGAATTTCGTACCTTTCATTATTTCGTTATAATACGGATTATTTATTTTTTCCTCACCAAAATACGTTTCACAACAGCTTTAATCATAAAAAAAGGACAATAATGCTCTACTCTACAGTTTTGTTTACTAAACGCATTTATGTGCTTGATTACGTATTCATCAAATGGCGTATAACATAAACCGTGTGATTACAACATATTGTAAGAAACACACATAGTAGTCTTCGTTGCTACACAACTGTTATTAATTATTTCGTCCATCGGATATCATCACACAAACGTTCAATAACATCTAAAACGTAACGTCATATAAGCGATCAGGCGGTACTACTAATATATCCTGACCGTTTGATCAATTACGTTGAATAGAAACTAACTGAACAGACAAAATATTTACATATTTCGTATGACGACGCCCACATGCAGGCGCAACATTTCGAACTTTCGGGTAAACGTGAAACTGCTTGCTTTGGAAACATAGGAAATCAGAAGACAGATTGCTCTGGTGATCATGCATGCTAACTAAGTTATGGAGGAAGCATGAAAGAATGGATAACTCCATCTAACCATGAAAAGTACTAGCTATCATGATGGCTATCACGTGTCCATATACATGGGACTGGTCAATTGGGGCACGGTACGTTGTGGTGTAACGACGATGATATTGGCGTGACAACGATGACACGGGTGTGACAGTGGTTACACAAGCATGACAGTTGTGACACGGGTGTGACAGCGGTGACACGGGTGTGACAGCGGTGACACAGGTGTGACATCGGTGACACGGGTGTGACAGCAGTGACACGGGTGGGACCGCAGTGACCCTTGTGACAACGATGACATGGGTGTGAATACGATGGCACAGGTGCGACTCTCACGACATCTTCCTATCGCGTAACCAACACACGCAAATGTTCGCGGCAACCTCAGGGCCGCAGCAGACGACCGCCTGACTCAGCCGTCACTGTCATGACACGTATTCCTTATTTTATTGCGCCCATGCTACTCTAGGTATGTTGGAACATGCATGTGGTGCCCCGCAACCTGAATAATGTTGTCTCGACGTGTCGCCGCCCTGCGATCTATCCCCCTCCTCGCCGCCTCATCACTTCTCGCTTGTGGCGTCTCCTGGCGTTGCCACGGCGACCCTTGCATCCTGGCGGCGGGCAGTTGTCGGTGTAGGGAGGCTGAGAGACGGCCGTCATCTGCTGCTGTCTCCGCTGGTCGTCCGTCCGCCTCGAACTGTAAGATGAATTAAGGACAAAATTTTAAAGTAAACTGTACGATGAATTGGGGACAGTGACTACAACGAGGACGAGGGGGAGACCCGCGAGAAAAAAAAAGAAAGTTAAAGCAAAGTGAGCGAGTAAAGGTTAGGAGTGTTACGTTTAGTGTTTGCAGCGAAAGATGAGGGCACAATGACCCGAGTTTCTCGCGCCGCGACATTTGCGGTGACATTTCGACGCGGCGGGATGGCAATACGAGTCTTGTGAAGCGTAAACTCACGGTCTGATTTCTACGTTATCCAATGCCCACTGGTCACGATGACGGCCACTGTGGTTTGGTTGCCACCAGGACAGCTGGGAATGGTACTTCTTGGCGCCTAGACGAATGCAAAATAATTATTTATTAATTGACGGTACATTGGGGAGTGAGAACATGAGCTTGCAAGCTCTCCATCGCCAGTGAAAAGTACGACTGTTATGGGTAGAATAAAGGACAACTGTTGAAAATAGACCTGGCTACTACAAATGAAATATATGACTTGAAAAAAAAACGCAAAAAAGTTCATGACAGACATGTTTGGTTGCAAATTATCGTGACGCCTAGTTCAGACGTACTCTCATCCTTGTTCGTGCTAAGCTTTAACGACGACGGCATCATCATAGCAATTAATGTGATCACTGTCTTTTACTTACGCAATCTACTTATTAAATTTATTTTTAACTCGTCTATTTTTAAGCGACGAAGGTTTAATTTCAATTTTAATGGTAGTACCTAATTCGCAATTAAATTGATCTGTTACGCTCAAGTTACGTATGGGCCATCGGTTAATTTAATAACATACTCATGCATTAACACGCATTAAGAGTAATTACTCGCTTTAATCGCTTTACTTCCTGTCGATCGTAAAACAAATGCGTTAATCGTAACATCGTGAGTGGCATTGCAGGTGATCGCCAGATTAAATTACGGAGTCGGCGCGCACGAGTGTTTCTCGCTTGCAGACGCCGATCAAGCGTTCGCACCTTCCGGAAGATTCAGCTCAACTCTGCGTGGCGTCAAGTACTCCGCCGGGTCGTGCACGGAGATCGTCCGCCAGGTGGTGCCACCGTCGGTGCTGTAGCGCACTACCACGGCGCGGTCAGGCGTCTGCTCGACGTTGCACGTGCTGTCATTGAACCTCGATCCCAGGCGAAGTGCAAACGACACCTCACTGCACAGGTAAGAGAAGAGCGGTGAGGGAATGGGGTTCCAGTAATAGTGGCAGGAGTAGCGGTGGTAGCAGGAGCAGTAGAAGTTGTTAAAATCGCGTTTTTGTCTTCATCGTTGGAGCTATGTTAGTAATAGTAAAATCTTTATTACCATTCATCATGGCATTTCAAGAACTTCACGACAATGAAAGCAATCAATGATTCTTGACAATGGCGCTAAGGGGAAGTGTGCGAGAAATCCTTTAATTTGCATGAACGTGTGGAATCCGTAATTTTTCGTGTCACGTCTGTAGGTAACTCAACATAATCGTATGTGAGGGCTATTACTGCATCTGTGGCTCTTTAAGCTACACGTCACGGTGGAAAATTAGTGCCCTTCAATTTCAACTTTTCTTGTAATTGCATTGTTACAACATTGCTGCCAGAAAAGCGTTTCTTGTCGAGTGGCTCTAAGGAGTTACGACCGCATATTGATCTTGCATAAATCAATACTATATGGAGGTAGACATGCAATTCCACGTGGCAGCAGGCAGTGGACGGGATATGCATACATACATACATACGCACGCACGCAGGCACGCACGCACGCACGCACGCACACACATACACACATACAGATACAGGTCCCCCCCCCCTCAAATGACCGACCGGCCGACTAACAGACCGACCGACTGACCGACCGACCAACCGACTCACGCTGATGTCCCCCAGGGTACTGCCGGTACGTACCCTGGTACTATCTAATGTGCCGGACCGTACCTCGCCTACTCCACTAACGAGTCTAGGGAGTCGCCTACACCTACTCCCTAACCCTAACCATATCAAATATTTACTAGGGTACGTCCCGGTATACCGGACCGTACCCAGAGTACGTTCCGGCAGTACCCTAAGGAACATAGACCCTACGAGCCCGACTGACAGACAGACATACCGACCGACAGACAGACAGACAGACAGACAGACAGACAGACAGACAGACAGACAGACAGAC